CTGTGTATATACATGTTAAGGTTGGAAAATATGCTACTATTTTATATATATACTACCCAAAACTCTCACAGTCCTCTTCTACATCCAGACATGTTAAGGTTGCCCAGTACTCATGGGCAGCGGAGATATGGACCTGCCTGAGAGTGAATCTGAATTATCTGTGCAGGATCTAGGTAGTTTGGAGCTCTGAGCTCGGGAAGGAAAGAGCTGCAGGTCCTTCTACAAGGGCATATAATTGAGACCTTGGATTGCATCTGGCTCTCAATCAGAGATTAGGGTCATGCATATCAATTGGAGCAAGGTTTCCTTTGGCACTGCAAGGCATTCATCATCTCACAGGCTTTCATTCAGCTCCCTATTATCCATTCTAGTGGGCTTTATTTTATGATTGGTCACTGGCAGGTAAGCAGTCTTAATTTGCAATGCTATTCATCCACACTCTTATTACTGAGGAATTCATGCTGTGGGAGTTAACAACGGACTACTTGCTTCTAAATACAAGCTGAGCATTTCCTCCAGCCTTGTGGGGGGTGGGTGGGAAGTCAATCCTGCCCTATACTCAGAGATGCCATCTCAAGGAAGGTCCCATTATAGGTCATGAGGCACGGAAGAGGTAACACATTCTTCTGATAGATGGCAGATATTTTAATACCCTTATCTGAAAGAAACAGCAGGACGGGTATAAATTGAGTGTTTTATATTATTTCTCCAGTGCATTAGAGCCAGTTGGCATAGAGATATAGCAATCCTTGGTAATCTAGAACAGCCATTTTCAACGGGGGGGCCATATGGCCCCCCCGAGGGCCCTGGAACATTTGAAGGGGGCCCCAGACTGGAAACAATTCTTCACATTATGAGGTTTGTTATGTGACTTACACAATTCTGATTTGGCCTATATTTCTTTCATATTGTGTTTATGGCAGTGGCCAAAAAAAAGGTTGGGAATAGCTGACCTAAAGAACAGGAAGTTATTGATTAATAAGAACTTCATTGTTTTCCTAGAGAAATATGGTGAAAAAGCAGGAGCCCTGACAATATATGAAGGAATATGACATGTCTTAGGTAGAACTTCAGATACCTCTGGTAAGTCTAGCTAATAACCATTAGTTTCCTGGCTGGCATGGCTGCAGCAGTTACTTCATATCCTCAACCAATCAATCTTATTTTTTGGACATGTGCCTTTTGACCCTACCAGATCCTCACATGTGCCTGTACATCCAGCATTCAGAACAGCATTTAGTAAGAGAGAGCTATTACCTTTGTGACCTGATTGTGGGTTTCCAAGAGACATCTGGGTGATTAATCCATCCTGTCCTGTCTTATGTTTAGTGAAAACTCTGCTAAATAGTTCTGTCCTTATAATACAGTGTTTCCCAACCTAGATGTCATGACCCCCAAGGGGGTCACAGATCATCTTCTGGAGCCTTATATGTGTTGTAGCCCTTGTTTAATAATTTCTTTCTTGACCTTTTGGAATGGGATATTAAAGTTAGTGTGTATGTGTACTTATGAGAAACAGGCTCTCTGGGGGAGAAAGAAGTCTCTACTTTCTGAGAAAGGATGACTGGGACTTTTTTTACAAAAAAAAAAAGAAAGAAAAAACAAAGAAAGAAAGAAGAAAGAAAGAAAGAAAGAAAGAAAGAAAGAAAGAAAGAAAGAAAGAAAGAAAGAAAGAAAGAAAGAAAGAAAGAAATGCCAGTATAAAGATATAATTGCTGATGCTTCTACAGTCATGGCCAAAAATATTGGTGTCACATACCCCCAGCTCCCCTGTTTGTTTCCCCTAACACCCAGGTTCGTCTTTGGGCACGACTTTTTTTCCTTCCTTTTTATGCTGCCACCAGAGGATACCCTCCTCCCTGTACCAAATATGAATAATGGACCAATGCTGTCAAATATAACAATGTTTATTTATAGGTTAATAGGTAAATCACATAAGGAAAATCATGGATGGTCTTGTATTATTCATTCGTTGAACGTACTTTGGACTTTAGATATGTTCACTTATATAGATTCACTTTAATCACGGTGTTACAATATTCAAACAGTTTATTTTATTTCTTATTACTTTTAACTCCTTCACTTTCCAAATCCTTGTCCTAATCCTAATCTTAACCTAACTGTCTATTTTAACACTTTAAATCCCTCTAAAATCCCTCTATATATCTCTGTCTTTTCTACTCTCTAACTCTCCAACTGCCCTAACTGTCCCAAACTGCCTTTTTTTTTCTCCCCTAGTTCCGCCCCTCCTGTCCTGTCATAGGCTCCCACACCAGAGCTCTAACCTGATGGACAGGAGTGATGTGTGAGCTGTCCCTCACAATTGGCACCCTTGCAATTCTGTCAGAAAATGCAACCCTTCTCTCAGAATGACTGCACTTGCAAATGTTTTGGTACTCAATGTTCATTTCTTTGGTTTGTGTTGGAACAACACACACACAAACACACACACACACACAACAGAGAAGGAAAGTAAAATCTGATACAATCCCACACAGAAACCCCAAAATGCAATGGAGTGAAATGAAGGTGCCTGCAGGTAAGTGTTTGTGAGTTGGAACTTGTTCAGTTCTTCCTGGGGAATTCTTGGAGAGTTCTTGAAATTGGAACCAAAAAGGTGTGGGAGAAGGGGAAGAGAAAGATACAAATGATACACAGCCGATGCAGACAAGGCTTCAGATGTTCTACAAATGTTCTGAGTAGTGATAGGCTGGCTTTATGTAGAAACACTGTGCAAGAGCAGGAATGCATATCTAATGAACATGTGTTCAACATCTTGATGTTTGCCTTCCAAGATGTGTGTATGTAATTAATTTGCTTTACTTAGGGCCAAGCTTGAAATAACAATCTTGTATTTACTTAATTAAATGATACCATCCCTATCCCCTCCTGAAAGCTCTGGCCAGCTAGTGAGGAGACAAACATAAAGAACCTAACAGAAGGATGTAGTCCAGAGAACATATGTCCTCATGTGGGGCAGAGGAAGCAAACGGTGGCTTGACCATCAACATCCAGAAACAAACCACAAATGAGATAGGAGAGATTACCAGTTTGGCTCTTTCAAAGAAAGTCAAAGAGAAGCAGAGAAAATGACTACCATCAGGACCTTTCTTTCTTTCTTTCTTTCTTTCTTTCTTTCTTTCTTTCTTTCTTTCTTTCTTTCTTTCTTTCTTTCTTTCTTTCTTTCTTTCTTTCTTTCTTTCTTTCTTTCTTTCTTTCTTTCTTATTACAATGGCCTTGTTTAGATTAGAATGTCCTAGCTTAGTTGTAATTTAAGTTTACTGGCTACTAGTTTTATTCAGGTTAGATTCACATTTACCAAAAAGGATGTCAAAATATATCACACACCTAGATGTGGGAGGAGATGCTGCCCCACGACCAGCACTGAAGTAAGGTTCATCAATTAATCTGTTAAGTTTCTCTCCATGGAATAGGGATGGCTTCCATCTTCTCCCTCACTTCAGGTAGCCTAATGTCTAGGACTGGCCCAAATTATCCATAGCACTGTTACAAAGAGTTCATGTACTGAAGAGGAAGGATTGGTGGCTTGGATGTTAAAGAGATTGAGGAGAAAGCAGTGTTTTCAGTTTGGATAAAATTATGGGTTTAACCACAGGCCAAGATAAACCTGGATGGCAGAAGAACATGGGCATATGGAAAAGGAGGACATAATATATTACCTTCTTTGATGTAGATTATCAGCAGCTAAACAATGATGAGGACTGCAGACTTCATCCCTCTGTTTTATTTGGGAAATTGTTTCCTGACATCTGGCTGTTCAGTTGAAATTATTTTAGAAGGAGCAACAGTTCTTTATTAGCAAAAAGACACACAATGTGGTTCTTTCATATCATTCACCTCCCTACCTCTCCTCTTTAAAGACATACATATCATTCACCTCCCTACCTCTCCTCTTAACCCAGCAAATAACATTTCTAGCAACCAGCACTTAACTGTTAGTTTTGAAGTTTAAATTCAGACATCTGTAAAGCTGCACGTGCAGCACATCATTCTTTAGTTTATGTCTCAAAAACTATTTCTTCTACATTAGGAACAAGCACACAGTTAATTATGACAGAAGATAATTATTATGCACCCCACTGAAGAACCTCATTGAACTCTATTAAAAAATAAGGTAAGATTAAAAGGCATGACAAGAACAATGGTCCACAAAGTCCTTCTCTCACACATCTTTGTTGCATGACAGGGGATGTGGTCTCTCAAAGGTTATGCTGATAAATCAGAAGCTCTGGCAAGTTCTACAAAAACTTTCTGTAAAGTCCTAGCAGCAGAATGCATCTTTCCCATTGGTGGACTGGCCAAGCTAAATATGGGGAGGTTCATTGCCAGAAAGTTGGCCAACTGCTAGGGAAGTGGCCACAATAGCTCTGAACATAAAGGTTGCATGCCTATTAGACAAAAGAACAAAATACAACAGAAACAGACAAGAGACAAAAACATGGTAGTACATGAATCAAGTCCACTCCCTCAGACATAAGAAAAAGTTGGCCAACAGCTAGTGAAGTGGCCACAATAGCTCTGAAAATAAACGTTGCATGTTCACCTCCCTCCCCAACTTGCCCACTCCTTTCCTCTTCCTCCTCTGTCTCAGAGACACTGAGCAGCAGCAGCAGCAGCAACAACAACAAAGTGAGATTACTCACATTGATCATGGTCTCATGACAAGGTGGGAATACAGATAATGGAAAAAGTGACAATTGTTTGTTAGTAAGGGAATAGAGTATAGCCAACTATTAGTCTTCAAGGTAACAGTAGCAGAGTTGACATAAGTGGCAAATTGTCTAAACCAATATAGCATTTCACACTTGGTAATGGCTTGAGAACCTTGATAGATATTCAGTCCATTTTAGTAAGTCTCCAGCCTCCATATATTCATCTGAGCTGTTTCTTTTTGAAGTCTTGTTTTGTAGGCTCCTCCTACACTAATTTTCAAGTGATTAAAAGAGTATCTAAAATGTTCTGAAATAGGTTTTGTGTGTTGCCATTCCTGATGTCAGATTTGTATCCATTAATTATTTTGCCCTTTTTGAGATTGTCCTGTTTGTCCTATGTTGAGCGCAGAAGGACATTGTTGGCAAAGGGTGGCATAGATCACATTAGCTGAGGAACAAGTAAACAGGCCCCTGATATTGTGTGTGACATTGCTGGGGCCTGCAGTTGTGTTGCTAGAGTAGATGTGGGGACAGAGCTGGCATCTGGGTTTGTAGCAGCGCTTAGTTCCCTTCTCTGTATTGGTGTTTTGTAGTCTGGTATTGTGTGTCAAGCAGGTACTAGGCTTGCCACCAAGAGCCTGGGAGAGGGAAGAATTCAGTAAGTGGGTTTTTGACACAGCATGATGCTAAGATATCCACATTGTTGCTTCACAGTGGTATCTAGAAAGTGCACCTGTTGTGCAGTTTGGTCCAGGCTGAAGTTCATGTTAGGATGAAAGTTTTTGAAGACATGGTGGAATTTCTCCAGGGCTTCTTTTCTGTTGCTCTAGATAATAAAAATGTCATCAATGTACCTCAAGTAAAGGAGTGTTACAACAGTTAAGAAAGCATTGGCAGTCATAGAGTCTCACTCTCATGTCTAAAGAAGTGGATTTAATCCACGAAAGCTCTCATTAAGATGTCACAACTTTTTTGACTCTTGTTTATTTTTGTCTGATATGCTTGCACAGACTAACATGACTACTCCTTTGAAAGACTTTGTGGGATGGTTGCGATCGACTTTGATGAGGAACTACCTGTATGGCTGAAATCCTGGATCTTTAAAGTACAACCAACAATTTTATGCACTTATCCCAAGGTATTAAGAAAGCAGAAAGGTGAAAGAGAAAGGAAAGCTACCAAAGAGAAGGGCTCTGCCCTTGGAGGGGGAGAAGGAAGGAGTATGGGGAACAGATACTGTAGGTGGGAGAGAAATGCACTTAAAAGGAAAGGGAAACCGACTGGACGAAAGCAGTGCCCCTAAGAAGTGTGCGCTGTTTGTTTAAAACAAAACCATGTGATATTACCCTCTTGCTCCTCAGCACATGTTCACCTCCCTCCCCAACTTGCCCACTCCTTTCTTCTTCCTCCTCTGTCTCAGAGACACTCAGCAGCAGCAGCAGCAACAACAACAACTCCATACTTTGGCACCTTCTCCCCAATCTGCCTCCAAAACAGGTCATTTGCTGGCTATGTTTAAAAGGAGAGTGAGCGAGCACTGTGACATTTGGAAATGTCTGGAGAGGGCTGAAAAGCCTCATCCAAAGGTGTCATGAAACTGAAAGATTAATTCTAACATGAGGGCAAATAGGTAGAAAGCAAACCACACTCTGTGTCTCAGTTCAGTTCCCGCACACGCACACTGTGATATGTAGGCTCAGAAAATTGGGCAGGGTTGCTATCAATTTGTTTTGTTTAGTTTTTAGCCTTTACGCTTTGTCAGAAGCTTATAAATGACCTGGGATCCATTATCCCAGGCAAAGAGCTGCTTTTCTCGGGGGTAATAATGCACCATGGAGTGACTCGTCTGACGTTTGGGGAAATGAAATGTTGGGGTTTCATAAGGATTGATGATCTCTAAGGTGTCATACACACACTCTATGCGAGGCGTGCCTCCCCCTGGGGAATTGTATACTACGTACAGGGTGGCACACAGCATGAAAGCGGCTTCAGCATTCTGGCTTTTGCAAGAGGTATCCCAAGTATATTCCACCGTCATTGTTTCATGGTTGATTTTAGTAAGGACCAAATTTCTTCTCGTCTCTGACTCTGCATGAATTGCCCACAATCCCAGTTCATCCACAGCTAGGTCTATTTTAGTGGAAGGATTAAGTTCATAGGCAGTTGTCTCTCCTGCACCTGAAAGCAGCATCTTGTCCACTACACTCCTCTTCTGTACATCAAACTTTATGATCTCATTTAAAGAACCATGTCGATGAAAAAATAAAAGGCCATTATATATAGCATGGCCTGTTCCTTGCCAGGGAAATGGCAACGTAATTCTTCGAGCTGATGGTTTCTCCCCATTTTCGGTAAAAGCTCGGATGTTTGTAAATTCCATAACAGTTTTGTTCTTTGTTCCATTTAAGAAATAAATCTTAGGGTAATTCTTGACTGGGTCTTTCAACCATGAGCCACTTTCATCTCCAGACTTCTTTACTATCTTTAGAGACTTGATGCCTGCGATCATGTAGTTGCAACCTTTGAAGAAAAGCAAGAACAACAATCAACAAGATAGAAAAAAACCAGAAGGCTGTCAGTACACATTCAACAAGTTTTCTCCTTGTCTGTCTATATGGCCATTCAGCACTCCTGCATAATAGAGGAAAATATAAATAATTCTCCACAATTGGCGGTATGCTCACCATCACTGTTAGAATTGCTCTACGTTTTGTTTAAGAAAATAAGCACAAACTGGACCACTGAATGGTTGGCCCAAATTCAGCTTTCTTGGAAGAGGTCACACTAAAGAAAGCTTTGTTTTAGGGCAATGGTTCCCAGCTTTGAGTCCCCAGATGATCTTGGACTAAAATTTCCAGAAACCTTCACCACTAGCTGAACTGGCCAGGATTTCTGGGAGTTGTAGTCCAAGAACATCTGGGGACCCAAGGTTTGGAACCACTGTTTTAGGGAGTTCCTAGGTAACATCTGCAAGTGTGGCTGCCATCTTTATGTTGCACTATTTTTCTAGTGTTTTGTCCCATACATTCAAATCTTACATCATTTGTCAAACATGGGGGCCACCACCTGGACAAAGTTGGAAGGGAAAGGAAAGCTAGCAAACAGAAAGCATGTAAGTCCCGGTTGCCAACTAAAAAGAGGGAAGTATTTCTGAAAAGGATATTCCATTCTTCTTTAATATGATCCTCCCATACAACTACGTACTAATCAAGCTGTTGCATACATGCTTTTAATACCTATAGGCATATTTTCTTTTCTTCAGTCTATACCTGTCTTCTGAAGTCAAGCAGCTGTTTCCCCATGTCTAGAAACCCTTGTTTTGGTCCCACTGAGCAACTAAAAATAGAGCAAAAAAACAATTCCTGTGTTTATTACTAGAGCGTTTTTTTTTTAGGGGAGGGGTTCTGGTATAAAATAACTTGTCAGATGTGTATCTAATTTTAGATAAAAGATATGTAAGTTTTTGTTTTGCTCAAGAGGTGATCTTTGACCCTGTTTCATATCTGGGCTCCATTTGGAACTCGGGTTTGTTAACAAAAGTTCCATTAAGTCAGCTAATGTTTGAATAACTTGTTTTAATTTAAACTTGCAGGACTCTACGGTTATATCAAGCTGCCATATATTTGAGACTCTGAGAATACCCGGAACCTAGAAATAATTTGTTTTAAATAACTTTAAATAAAATTACTTGTAACTAATTCCTTTTTTAAAGAAAGCAATAACTAAATCACATTACAATTATAACTCAACAAGGAATGGCTTCTCTTCTTTTTGTGATATATCTGTAACTTTTAATTTAAGGGGTGTAGTTTCTTTGAATGGCAGAGGAGGAATAACACATGCTGCATGCATCAAGAAGACAAACAGGAAGAAAATGTATTGTGTACCACAGCCCAGCATCTTGTAGCATTTATGTGTCTTTTAAAGTAATTGAAAAGTTACTACTGTAGGAACTTCTGCAAGATAACAAAGTGAAGAGCTTCTTTCTGAAAAAATTCAACTGCATTGGTATCTAACTTGGAATGGGAACAATAACTATAAGCTCTGGTATAATTTACAGAGAACAAGATGAGAATATGATGGGAAAGGTTGAAGGTAGCAGGAAAAGAGGAAGACCATTTTTGAGATGGACTGATTTTGTACCATAGCCTTGAATTTGTAAGACCTGAGCAGAGAAATGAATGATAGGACCTTTTGGAGTTCACTGATACATAGGGTTGCCTACAATCAGAAGGAACTTGACACAACACAGCTTAATATGATGCTATATGTTCAGGCTTCGATATCCAATTAGTCCACCACTGTGCACTGCACATGGCTGTTCTGATCAAGTATATGATAGGCCTTCTGCCTGACTTCCTGTTTAAAGAAGAAAACAAACTGGAGATATCAGAGACTGAAGCTGGCATCTACCCCAGGCAAAAATCACAGGGCAGGCAGCCACGTACATGTTCAACCCATTTACGCAACACCCAGGTGTTCAGTGGAGTATAACTGCTCCCCATTTCCAGCCCCCCTGCCTCATGACAAGAAAAGCTCATGTGTTCAACTGATATCGGAGTGTCTTGGAAGTCTTCCTCTTCCTCACATCATGTATTGGTGTGTGTGTGGGAACCCATTATTTCTCCCCTTCAGTTTGAAGCACTGGGCTGCCTAGCTTATGCTACAATCCAGGAGATAAATGTTTTTTCCTAGAGCCATGTGTTCTGGCAGACACTTTGTTATGGTTCACTCATGTAAATAACTGTCTTGCCAGAGGCAACACACAACCAAGAAGAGACACTACTTGAAGTTTAAAGAATGTCCTTTAATAAGGTACAACATTTGCAGCCAATGAGCGTAAACAAGTCTGTAAGCCAGGAAGTTGTAGCAGAAAACATTATGCAAGAGGCTTAAGTAACCTCTGTAGCTTTATCCTTGCCCTCTTTGGGGCCCTACTCTAGCTTAGATGAAATGAGGAGATACATTTCCATTTCCTTTAGGAGTTTTATGTTCTTGAATTCCAATAGTGAATATCTGCATATACAGCTGGGACAAGACCACAAGTCTTGAAAATGTGGTGAGTTACCCTACGTTGTATCAAAACCAAATGAGAGTGTTATGTTTCACTGGAAAGAAGAATAAGCAGTACTTGTAGCCATAGCTAAGGATGCAACGACATTGTAATTTGATTTGTTGTCTGTATTATATTTGAAATTGCAGCAGGTGCTCTTATGGGGGCTCCAGATTGATTCTGGAGTACACTGTCCACACTGGATTTAATGTAATTTGCATTCCAGCCCACAACCCCCCTTCTTTCCTTCCTTCCTGTGGTCCTGCCTCTGCCAATCCTTTTATGGAGTGTAAATATAGGAAATGATAATAACAAGGACACAGTGATAAGGTGATAGGGTAATCTAGCACTAATCTCATATATGTAAGATAGTTTTTAAAAAATATTTTAAAATGGAGGATGATTGGGGGAAGGAAATAATATGAAGGACATATTCCCCAGTCCTGAACATCATGCCCCAGCTACCTATATTATCGAAAGCGCCATCTACAAACACACACCACATTTTTACAAAAACATATCACAACTAAACATGTTAGAAAAAGCCTGTTCAAATCCTTCTGCCTTGAAAAAGTAGACACCTTCCAGTGGCAGAGGAAAAAAAGTTACTTTGGGAGCAAAAAGGCTTGGGCTAACTTGAATCAGCCTTTATGTCATGTAGTCAGTAATAAATACTTCAAATTCACCCATTATATAGGTAAAGGTAAAGGTTCCCTTTGACATTTAGTCCAGTCATGTCTGATTCTATGGCGCAGTGCTCATCCCCATCTCCAAGCCGTAGAGCCGGCATTTGTCCGAAGACAGTTTCCGTAGTCCTGTGGTCAGCGCGACTAGACACGGAATGTCGTTACCCTGCCACCGTGGTGGTACCTATTTATCTACTTGCATTTACATGCTTTTGAACTGCTAGGTTGGTAGGACACCCATTATATAAGTAAATCAAATTCTGAAGTATTTGATTAACCATGTATTTGCAGCCTAAATTAGAAGTGGGGGAAAAATCAATAGGCTGTAAGAGTTCTGAACATCTTTCCATCAGTTCCATCATGACTAAATCACTTTTGCATGGGAATGGTTGCAACAGTGAAGAAGTTTCCTTATCAAGGGCCAGCCTGAAAAAAAAAGGGATTCATGCTTGCAAAATAATAATTATGATTCTTGCTGCAATGTAAAACATATGTGTATCTGTAAGCATACATATGTGGACATATGAGTATACATACTGTATGTGTATCTGACCGTATGTATTAGAGATAAATGGCTCAATTGATTTCCAGTCCATGTCAGTATACCGAGGCTGCTCTGTCCTGCTTCCACATTAATCTGTATTTTCTAATCCACACAACATTTTGTATTTAAATACATACTGCTGAAATATTTTCTCCCCAAGTTTAGATTTCTAAATTTATTTTATTCTATTGCATATGTGTATGTCTTTTTTTGAAGCCAAAACAACCTCACAAAATTTGAGGAAGGATGAAGTTCAGAGTAACTGTGCTTGAGTCTAGAAAGTAAGAATAAGGTTGGTTCATGCTGCTATATGAACAGAATGAAATCTAGGTACTACATAACCTTGACCACTTTTGGTCACTAAATATTAGTGTTAAGAAAACAGAGAGCAAGCTGCCTTTGTTAGTTAACAAATGGCTGACTGTATATTTCAGAACAGTTTGGAAAAATGACTTTTTGGGACTCCCTAAATTCTAGAAATTACATTCCAAAAAGGCAACATGACCTTGCTGTGAAAATGCCTCTTAAAAATGTATTTTTCTGTGTGAGGCTTTCCCTGATATTTTTGACAGTTATTTCTTTTGCTCCACTGATTTATGGTTGTTGATGTGTTCCTATATGGTACATTCATTATTTTTAAACTGTTTCTAAACTGTATTGTTTGTAAACTTTTTTAACCAGGACTGCTTAGAGAATTTTTATAAATATTGTAAATGGAATATATAGCTCAGCTCTCCCATGGCAGTTCTCTGATGTAGTCTGTGATAGGCATGAATCTTCAATCAGACCTCTGTGGAGCAGACTTGAATTTCCACTGCTATGGATTCTGTTTATATGCAGGGGGAGGAAGCACTGAGAATTTGTCCAGGTTCATATCATTTAGGATTTGTCAGGATAAAGACCATGAAACTGTGTCCTTCTTTCACACTTTGGAGACATATGCACAGGAGGTTAAAATTTACATGCTAACTTTAAATGGAGATATAAGATCAAGGTTTGGTAAGTAACTACTTATAACTATCCCAAGGCCCCAACAACTAGTTAGCTACTGTTTAGTGGCAATAGTTAAAATTAACTCTTTAGTTGATGAGTTACTTTTGTGACTTTTAAAAAAATATCAATGCTGCAAGCACAAAAACCACAGCAAATCTTACTCTTCTCTTTTATTGTCACTTCGACGCTCACAACCAGAGATGGTTTTTGCAGTTCGAGCTGGTTCATTTGTCAGTCGAACAGGTGTTCGGCACTTCGGAAGCCCACCTCCTCTGGGGAGGACCCACTCAGAGGCAGTGCCCAAAGGAGGTAGGGCAGAGAAACTGGGGTGCTACCCCTGAGTGAGTGCCTGCCAGAGGAGGCAGGGTTGGGAAGTGCTAAATACCTTTTCAACAGAAAAATGAGCTACCGGTTCAGCAGTTCATGCCCAACATGTCTCACAACAGAGTGCAAGGGGAGCAACAAGAGAGACAACACAAAACACCAGTTAAACCATGTGATTTCCCTCTTCCTAGAAAACACAGTCAATCACCATGGCCTATGGGAGTTGTAATCCAAAACAGCTGGCTTTTTGTTGCCTGTCGCTGCACTGCCACTTTGTCACCCCCCCTTTTTTTCTTGGTTATGGCCACTTTCTGTTTCCCAGAGTGAAGTTAGCAAACCAGCAATAATATAAATGCCTGTAAATGCTGGTGTCATAATAAATGGTCTAGACTTTAAGATGCCACACAAGACTCTACATGCTTTTATTTGCAGCAGAGTAACATAGCTGTCTCTCTGGGAATGCTGGGGTGTAATTCTGCTCACAGACACCTCGTTCTGGACATGGAGGAAGAGGGAACACAACACATTCCCTAGTTCTGCAACTGTTAACATATCTAGAGACCATAAGAAACAGTACTTTTGCAAAAACCTGGCAAAATGCACAAACAACACTGTTTCATTGTCTCAGGTGGAAAGTGGATGAAATATTATAAGTAAATAGCTCTTACTTGCGTTAAGCATGAGTTTGACTTTCCTTTTGGACTCTTCATGTTCAAATAACTCCTGCTCCAGCAGGCCTTCGTCAACTTCTACACAGGCATAAGGTGACTCTTTTGCAGATTCGAAGTAGTCAATGTCCCTCTGGGCTCTCTCCACTCTTGTTAGCAAATGGTCCATGTCATTTTTGAGCTCTGTCTTTAAAGTGTTGAGTCCTTCTAAGCGTAACATGATCTTTTTTGAAAATTCCCGAAATTCTTCCACATATTCTGCGATATCTTGATTGCATTTGTCCAATCTGTTCTTTAATTAGAACATAAAGAGATGTGTTTATATACAATGTAAGAGATATCCCAAAACACGCTGTCTGTCCAAAGATTACTCCTCCCACCAATGCATTTTAACAGAGAGTTTCATCCAGTTCTGACACCAGGCTAAGCATAACAAATGCCCAGAGTGTCCTTAGGGTAGATGGGGGTATACAAATCAAATAAAAATAAATCAGTGAACAAACTATGATAAACATATTTGCAAACAAAGAGTGGCCATTGCAATAGTTTGATAAGGCATACAATGCTCTTAAAAATGTTCAGGAGCTAGAACTAGTGCTATATGTGGCAGATTTCTGTTGAGTATGTATTTTAGAGGCCATATGTTACCAACTACACCAATTCTGACTTCCAGACTAAATTCAATGATCTTCCTTTCCTCCTCCTCATCCTCCAAGTAAAGCTTTGTACATTTGGGACCAGAATATTTGAAAGACTAACTATTTCTGTTCCCAGGAGAAGTCCAGGTGTTCTTTTCTTCTCCTCATCTCTGTTCAAATCTAGACAACATGTTTTCTCTTCACTCCTTATCATCTCCTGATGGTGCTGGATACATGGAACTTTCCCATAGTCTCTTGGAGAAAACATTGCCTACAAAATCATTTTCATACAGAACCAATCTGGATCCATTTTACATTTCTTTACAACTACATAAACCATCTTCATTACATGTTTTAATCCACATAGTCATGATTACGACAGAGCCTAATTAAAGATCCCAAACAGAAGCAGACCTCCCACCACAGGGTGTAACCACATTAGCAAATAATGCAGGAAATGCTATGGGCCTGGGACATAATGATTCAGATTTTTCCCATTGACCACATGATGTAAAAGCTAATGCAAATCAGCTCCTCCCCCCAGTTTTTTTCTTTTGTTGTTAGGGCTTCTACTTTTTTTAAAAAAAAAACCCAACAATTGGAGCCATTCACATCAGTTCAGGCTGTTTCACACATTCCTTAATTACATATCGTCTGGATTACTGTTATGGGCTCCATATGGGTCTGCCTTTCGAAAGTGTTTGGAAATTTCAGCAAGTCCAAAATGTTGTAGTCAGATTGTTAACTTGGGCTGGTTACGGGGATCACATAATCACCTCATTGCAGCAACTCCAATGGCTGCCGATCTGTTTCTAGGCCCCAAACAGAATATGTAATTTCTTTTTTCTTTTCTTTTTAAAAAACAATTTGGTGCCAGAGTTGTTGCACTATGGCACCTAGACAGCAAAAATACAGAGAAAATGACAGAAAGAAATGAGATGAGGAAATTGCTATTCTGTTCTTGTTCATAGCTTACTAGTATTTCTTCTGTAGTTTGCCTCCTAGGAGAGCTATGTTGACAAACTGCAAAGATGGCTGTTTAGCCAATTCCCCTGTGTGGCCAGTTAATTTGAATAGATCCCAGAAAACCCAAATTCTCTGGCATGACTTCATAGCAAGTGAATTTGCATTTTTCTCACTGTGTAGCTGCACCCTCAGTAAGTAGGACAGTGTGTACATGAGACAGGATTTTTGCACCCAAGAGAAGACAGGCTGGCCCCATTCTTGTTGAGCTTTAAATGAGCAGTCAAAAACTGTATGGTTTTCCCAGTACAGTATTTTGGTTTTTAACATTGTTTAAAACCTGTGTTAAAAGAACTCTTTGCTTTAGAATGCTTTATTATTTTATTTTCTGATGAACAGAAAAGCAATTTACTAATGTACTGAATAACTAGCTAACTAACTAACCGAATCATATTTACACTCTAAATTTGTAAAAGTATGCTTCAAAATGCAAAAGGGAAAGAAGCACCTAGCTTCTGCACTTTGGACTTCAAGAATTAGACAACAGTTGATTGCAGATTTTCATTGCAGTTTAATAATTTCCTTCCAGGAGGCAGCAAAAATAGTAGCTGTGCTGGCAGAAAACAGCAGTGAGGCCCCTGCTGATCCAGATGTTGCACAGCTGGAAGGAATGAAGTCAAGGGAGCAACTCCACTGAGTACTTTTTCTTGAAGCTGAAGCTGTTCCTCCCTAGACTATTTGCCTGTCCTTCATTTTTGGATAGTGAGAGAAAGTGAAGAAAGAAGTCATTTTCCTCTCACCTTTTGTCCTAGATATGAGGGAATAGAGATTATACTGGTGTAATCTGTGTGGCTGAAAATTTGACATTCAGGATAAGGGGAGGGACATTATCTTCCTTCCATTTCCTGCCTCCTCAACAGCAGCAGAAGCTACTCAAGTGGCCAATAAGTAAAACAGGAGAGGACCAGAAGACTATAATATAAGGACCGAGGTTTGGGGACTGGCTGACGGTTGTGGGTGCGGTTGGGGGGAGTTGTATTTCTTCTCCAGGTTGGGCTAAAATCCAAGTCAGGGAAGAATTCAAGGGTAGTAGTTATTGCCTAATCTGGCTGGATCGCTCAGTGGTTTAGGTATCTGACTGTGGAGCCAAAGGTTGGGAGTTTGATTCCCCACTATGCCTCCTGTGAATACAGCCAGCCTGTGTGACCTTGGGCAAGCTGAACAGTCCCAGGGTACTCCACAGAAGAAGGGCATGGTAAATGTCTTCTGAGTATTCTTTACCTGGAAAACCCTTAGAAGTGTTGCCATACGTCAGAATTGACTCAACAGACTATTATTAATTATCACTTTCTGCCTGAGATGAGCACTACAATGCTTAGGTCTGTGAGTCAGGAAAAATGAGTCTCAGTGACATCTCCACAACTATTGCTCTTCATAAATTTGGAAGGTGATGCTTTTCATTTTGGTGAATACCTGTCTGAGGACATAATATGCATTGACCCATGACAAATTATTGCATGGTGATTAAATATAGCAGTGCCCGTTATAGTACTCATCATGATCATGATCATGATCATGATCATTATAGTAATCATCATCATCATCATCATCATCATCATCATCATCATCATCATCATCATCATCATCATCATCATCATCATCCCTAGTAATTACTGATTATCAAGTAACAGTGGTAGCAATCTAGTAATCACTGATTATCAAGTAACAGTGGTAGCAATCATCTGCAATTCAGTTTCTGCCTGCTCCTTCACAACCACTTGATTGTCCTTTAAGCCATCCACAATAATCACTGGGATCACCCTGACTTCTCCTCTTTTGTTTTTGCCCTTTCTGTGATGTGGTGGCACTGCGGGTTAAACTGCAGAAGCCTCTGTGCTGCAAGGTTTGAAGACCAGCAGTTGTAAGATCAAATCCACGTGATGGAGGGAGTTCCTGTCACTTGTCCCAGCTCCTGCCAACCTAGCAGTTTGAAAGCATGCAAATGCAAGTAGATAAATAGGTACCACCTCGGTAGGAAGGTAACAGTGTTCCGTGTCTAGTTGTGCTGGCTACATGACCAGGGAAACTGTCTACGGACAAACACTGGCTCTACAGCTTGGAGACAGGGATGAGCACCGCACCCTAGAGTCGGACATGACTGGACTAAATGTCAACGGGAACCTTTACCTTTACCTTACCTTTCTGTGAGGCTTGCCAACCTGCCCTTCTGTGTGGTAGTATCCTTATACTCTACTTAACCAGAACCCTGTCAGTCAATGGTTGTTCCAGCATGAAGATAAAGCCATGCCGACATCCTGCGTGGCTGGCAGCTGCTTCAGGAGGCTTGCTCGGAAATAACTGACTCTTTCCTCTTGTACACAATGCCTAGTCTGAATTAGATGAACTTCTGACAACATAATAGGAAGTTTTAAAATGTTCTTAGGTCACTGAATGGTGTACTCAGGAAGGGAACGAAACAGCCAAATCCAGCTTTTAAGTCTTCCATTGATGCCAATAATAGTTCCAGTACAATCTTTATTAGACATACTTGGGAACAAACTGCACAGAATACAATGGGACTTAATACCACACACATACAGATAGTGTGCTCTAGGGGGCAATTGCTGCCCTTCACATGAACTGTGATTATTCTTGATACTCACCATTATCTATGCAGCATGGAGCCTATGGGAATTGGAGTCCAGCAACATTTGGAGGTCTCCAGTAGTATAAACTTACTCTGGTATTTGGTGCAACACAGCGAACACATAGAACAAGCTGCTGGTCTTTTAATCCACACACCATTTTCAAGTTATGATGATTAAAGTATCATCGTTGACATGATTTGTATGATCTACAGTTTTGTTATAGTAACAAAACTGAGATTCGAGCCTGAAGTTATCTTCTGGGTATTTTAAAAATGGACCTATCTGAATCTGAAACAACGGGCAGAGTCAGAAGCAGAAGTTTAGAATCAAAACGCAAAGATCAAACAGAGTACTTGTAGAATTCAACGTTCATGCAGATTGTCAAAAGTAAATAAATGAGAGATTTTTAAAATCCCTGTTCCTATAGTATCCTCATCCTGAGATCAGCATTAGATGAAAACATGTGGACACAATCTGTCTACTCTTTCATATAGCTTGTGCATGTTTTCCCTTTTCAAGTGAACCTGTAAACGGTTAATGTCATCTTAATTGTAACCCTTGCAAATATGCACGCTATATCTGCTGATAAAATCAGTGAAAAGCAGCAACTCTCCTGATCTCTCTTCATTAACAACATTTGCCTATTTCCTATGAAGTCCGTTAAGCTAGGCAGGAAAAAAAAGTTTCGGATATAAAAGTTTGTAAAAGGTGAAAGATTTATAAGAGTAATGGACAGGACCCATGTTCTTCACAAAGACAAAGAACTGTACATCTTTAGGTGAAAGCAGAGCACCCATACTGAATTGTTTACATACCTCTATGGAGACAATCCGGTGGTCAATATAGTGCACCAATCCAGCATCTGGCATAAGGTATTGTGCTTCTCCTATAATGCCTGTAAAAACCGAAACCAATAAGAATCGGAGCTGTAAGGCTCCCATCGCTTTGGTAAATCTCACAAGGCAGAAGAAAACATCCAAAATCATAAGAATCGGAGCTGTAGGGCTCCCATCGCTTCTCACAAGGCAGAAGAAAACATCCAAAATCTGACACTTCAGTGTAATTTCAGCCAAGCACTATGGTGCGTGTTTCTTCAAACCAGCAAAACAATGTCGCAATTGAGTAATTTAAAATGGCTGTTTAGTCTCCTATAATCTCATTAATACAATAAAGTTGTGCAAAGCTCTCAGCGAGATAAGTTTGTTTCTGGGAGCTGAGAAAGTGCTTTCCGGCTCATGTTTTGATTGGATCCAGATGTTCTGAAGGGGGCTGTACAAAACGTGTAGGCAAGCAAAAAGCAAAATTTATGAGCGATCTTTCCTTTCTCCCTGTAAGCAGCATGTAGGTAGAGTTCAGATTTGCATGTATGTTCACATTGCAGGCAAGAATCTTTTCCACACTGTCTGTACCCTTTTCAGATGCTGCTTCGCTTTTTGCCGAACAGTTACCCAGTTGCATATCTAAGGACTGCATTATAGAAGACATTTCCCCCCTGAATGGGTGTACATTGGCATAGGAAATCCATTTGGCACCATCATGTGTGAAGAATGCATTGCTTGTTTTGGCTGATCTGTGCTTCAAGAGTCTGCTACCAGTAACACTGCCCTAACTGTGTTCTCAAGATGGTATGCACTGATCATAAGACTGGGTTCATTTCCTGATTCAGCAATTCAGAAAGCAATCTCATCTGGCTTGATTTGGACATCAGTTCCAATTTAGTTGGCAGAGCCAGCTCTTCCAATAGACAGAGTGAGGCAATGGAGCATTGGCAATCTCTATGGAACGGATTCTGTGGCACTTCCCTTCTGTTAGAACTGGAGTTCTGTGTGCCACGTGAGCGATGCCATTCCCCTAAAGCACTGGTTCTTAACCTTGGGTTACTCAGGAGTTTTGGACTGCAACTCCCAGAAGCCTTCACCACCAACTGTGCTGGCTGGGGTTTCTGGGAGTTGCAGTTCAAAAGCATCCGAGTAACAAAGGTTAAGAACCACTGCAAGGAACTTGCAGAGGCAGCAAAATCTCTTTGGTTGGTCCTGCAGCTTGGAATCTGAACCTTGATTTCAAAATCCAATTGCATGAACCTCTTTTGGGCTGTAAGTAGACATCAACACATGCTGTTTCCCAAAACGGTGTGAAATTTGCAGTTCAGTATGTTCAGAGGCAGAAATGAAATTTCATGAGGTTAGCCATTTGACTGAGTGAACTCCATATACTGATCATATTCAGAGTTTCGTTGGTTCAGCTGCGGTGGAATTAGAGGGTTTGTAATTTTATAGTCAAGTTATACATTTTCTCCAAATTTACCTCAGTGGTAGTCCAAAAAAGTATGATTTATATGGAGCATTATCAGAGTCCTTCATAGTTCAAAAAATCCAATCTGCTTACTACAGGATTTGTTTGTTTGTTTGTTTGTTCGTTCATTCGTTCGTTCGTTCGTTCATACTCTGCTTTTCTCCTCAAAAGGACCCAAGACAGCTCACATCATTTAAAGGACAATACAGTGGTGCCTCGCTTTACGATTGCCCCCCATTATGACAAAACCGCATTACGACAATCTTTTTGCGATCACAATTGCGATCGCAAAATGATGGTCTGAACGGGGTTTTTACGCTTTGCGATGATCGGTTCCCTGCTTCGGGAACCGATTCTTCACAAGACGACGATTTTCCTCCAGCTGATCGGCGGTTTAAAAATGGCCACCGGGTAAATAAAAAGGCTTCCCGCTGTTTTCTGGGACAGATTCCTCACAAGACAGCCACTGAAAATGGCCGCCCTATGGAGGATCTTCGCTGGACGGTGAGTTTCCAGCCCATTGGAACAGATTGAAGGGGTTTCAATGCGTTTCAATAGGCTTTTTATTTTCGCATTATGACGTTTTCGTTCTACAGCGATTTCGTTGGAACGAATTAACATCGTAATGCGAGGCACCACTGTATACAAAAGCTAAAAACAACAAGTGTGCAAATATTTAAAAAAGAATTAAAGAAGGATCATATTAAAAATGGTAAATAAAACCAATACTAAAGACACATTTAAAAGCAATACTGAAACACATTTAAGTGTACCCTCTGGATGAAATTTTCTCAATTCCGCACCCAGTGCCTACATAACTAGGGCACATCTGCCAGTTGCCTCATAGCACATGCACAATCAGTCAGGTAAGTAAGACCAGGAGATTTAAAATACTGGAACTGACGTTATAACTACTAGATAGGGTTTGGTTAGATCGCTGGCAAAGAGGGTTGGATCAAAAAGAGAATTAGGCAGGCAGGGCTGTTCTCTGAGTTTCTTCAGTTTGAAGATAGATATTAGAATGGGAAAAGAGGTGCTAGAAAGAAGCGGTAAAAAAAAAATCAAATAATCCATTCTAGGAAGGCTGGCTTTTACTGAGCAGCTCTTTGGTGGAAAACACGTAGTGGTGTCAGTGGACTCTGAACCCCCAGGAGTTGATAGTGTGGCTGAAATCCTGTTGCTTATTATAGTAACTCACATTAGGGTAGGCCCATTTAATCAGTGGGAGTTTAATTAATTGACTTCTCCATACGTTCCATTGATTGACTGGGCCTACTTTGGTGTGAATTACTATACTGAGCAACAGAATTTAAGCCATTAGAACTGTTGTACAGTAAATAGTCTGCCTTTAAACAGGAAAAAATGCTAGCTCTATCCTTCCTTGTGTGTTTTGAAAATGAAACTACAGTCTTGGTTCTAACATTTTCCTCAGTTTACCTTTCCACCCAAATCAGAGGGCTGTTTGGTTTAAAAGACTCCTATAAAGGTTAAGTGTTGTGGGCATTAACTGGTTTACTACACTATCATCGTTATAAATATTATTGTTCATCAAGGAAAATGCAGGGAATAGATGAATGGGAATTCACTCCAGTCTCAGTCACACTGCCAGCCTCCCACTTTCAGTGAAGGAGTGCCACATCATTGTAGCGTTCACCCTTTGTTAGGTATAATAGATAGATAGATAGATAGATAGATAGATAGATAGATAGATAGATAGATAGATAGATAGATAGATAGATAGATAGATAGATAAGGTGGAAATTATATGGCAAGAGAATACTGTAGTATGTACATCTGAAGAACTTATGTGATTATTAAATTGGCTTCACTTTAATAAATAAGTTTTCTTTGCATTCACCATACAAGTGTCTGATCAAACGTCTTTTATTTTGTGGATTGAGGGAATCCACTGGTGGCAGTGAAAGGAAAACACGACTGGAGCCTTTGTGAGGGCACAAAACGTAGGTGCCTCAAGGAGGTGAACGTCACAATCATCAATAAATATGTCACTGGGGAACAGTGGTAACAACCCACATGCCATTCTCTGTACATACCACTGCTTCTTTTCAACCAGCCATTTAATTAGCAGATAAATTAATGCTATGACCAAATTTCACCACCCAGCTTTAACATTAAATTAATTTCCCCTTTCACACTTTTACATTAACAAATTAAATTTCAGTTTAATATTCCAACCTCTGCGTTTAGAGCTTTCCAGAAAAGAACTAACAACCTACATTCAGCCCATTAAGTCACAGGCAGGCAGTATAGCGTTTTGAGAATTGATTTCACATGATCTCATAGAGTCATATGATTACACTATGTGCCATACATATTTTGTGCCAGCTGCAGTCACTAAACTGTGTTCAAGGCCAGCCCCATGAAGAAGGAAATGTAGTCACTGTCACAAGTTTATTAGCACATGGGTAATTGAAGTCTCCCCTTCATGGATTGCTGCCTTGTCGTGGTGAAGGGGCTTGAATCATTCAGAGAAGCTATGGGCTATGCCATGCAAGATGGACAGGTCATAGTGGACAGTTCTGACTAAACGCAATCCACCTGGAGCAGTAACTGGCAAGCCACTCCAGTATCTTTGCCAACAAAACTCCATGGACAGAAACAAAAGGCTAAAAGATATGATGCTGGAAGAGGAGCCCCTCAGGTTGGGAGGTGTCCAACATGCTGCTGAGGAAGAGCGCAGGACAAGCGCAAGTAGATCCAGAGCTAATGAAGGGGTTGGGCCAAAGCCAAAAGGACGCTCAGCTGCGGATGCGCCTGGAAGTGAAAGGAAAGTCCGATGCCGCAAAGAAAAATATTGCATAGGAACCTGGAATGTAAAATCTATGAACCTTGGTAAGCTGGATGTGGTCAAACAGGAGATGGCAAGAATAAACATTGACATCCTGGGCATCAGTGAACTAAAATAGACGGGAATGGGCAAATTCAATTCAGACGTTTATCATATCTACGATTGTGGGCAAGAATCCTGGCGTAGAAGAAATGGAATAGCTCTCATAATCAATAAAAGAATGGAAAAAGCTGTACTGGGATACAATCTCAAAAATGAGAGAATGATTTCAATACGAATCCAAGGCAGACCTTTCAACATCACAGTAATCCAAGTTGATGCAACAACCACCCATGCGGAAGAGACTGAAATTGACCAATTCTTAAAATTTCCTAAGGTATACATGCCAGTGCATACTGAACTCACACAAAATGGTAACCTCATCAGTGTTCCTAATGAGCCTCCAAATTTGAGAATCTGTTGTTTTTTAAACAATAATGGATAAGACGGATCTATTAGAAATTTTATTCTAGTCAGAAAACTCATAAAATGATGTACCTGGGAAAATTGAAGAAAGAATTTTAGGTGTTATTGTAAATTGTGTAAATTGAAGCGATGATTTTATACTCTGCATTCAACAAACCAGAATAAATACTCTGGCCTAGCCCTGTTGTCTTACTATTGTTGCTGCTGCTGCTACTACTAATACTGATGATGATGATGATGATGATGATGATGATGATGATGATGATGATGATGATGTACCACCAAGTCATTTCTGACTGATGGTGACCATTTTCAGGGCTTTCCATGTAAACCACTCAGAAGTTTACCATTCCCTTCTTCTGGGGATACCTCTGGGACCAGTGCAGCTTTCCCAAGGCCATGGAGGCTGGTT